CTATGAGATACAGACCTGGGACATAAAAGCCTCACAGCACCTTACTGTGGAAAGGGCCATGCATCATGTCCCCGCCATAGGCCAGACCATTGGACGTGCTGACCATCTACAGGACTCTACTTTCTCTCCTAGATAAAGAAAGTAAGACACAGAGAAACAGAGTATCATGACTGCCACATTCACTGGGAGCTCAAGAAATCTAGCACTTACATGGCATAATATAGTGCCACAACTTTCCAAGTAAAAAACAAAAACACAACAGTCAAACACAGGATGTGGTCAGGCAGGGGTCTGGAAGGACACTGATTGACTCTTATGAAGTGTTATTCACAACCCTGCGACATCGCAAACCAGGGGACTCTGGGCAGGTGCAAGCCAATTTTCTAAGACTGTTTCTCTGGGGAACCTAAAAATTCACATATTATGACTCCAAAGCTACCACCTTAGCAATATAAATGACTTAAAGGGCACAGAACAAAGAGAAGCAGCCGTGGCTGCTGATTCCATGGAGCTTTTTATATGCTGGGCACCATACTGTCTCTGCAGAACCTTCCAATGATTCCATACAGGGGAACTTGGTCCTTATCTTGAGTTTGCAGGTGAGAAAACAAGAAGCTTATGAGTTGACCTCCTTGCCCAGGATCACCTGAGCAGGAAGTGTGAAAGCCAGATTCTAGGAGCCACATTCTAAACATCCTGCCTCTGCATACAGCATGGTCTCAATTACAAGCTAGTCTGTGCCGTTCTTCAGAAACAAGTCACTGTTATCACCTTTCTCTCCACCTTCCTGACCATTCTACCAATAGGAGTGGCATAAACACCTTCTAGCTGTACCTCCTCCCCATGCCACTCTAAGGTTTGCACAGAGCACTGTTCTGAAGCATCCGAGGAAGCTCTTCATTTACGAATAGGAGAGATACCATCTACAAGACATGACCTGGCACCTGCTACCAGATATGGCACAGAAGGGGGACTGAATAAATGTGTCTTGAACTAAATTGAGATCAGTTGAATGAAAGGAAATAGTCAGTGTGTAATCTGGCCATGTTTAGGGATTTTCTAGCTGCCAACTAACATGATCATTCTCTCCAAGAAGCAGTTAGACCTATGCCAATACCCTCGGCTATTCTGCTCATTTGCCACTAGCCTCCGATTGCTTAAATGAGAGAAAGGCTATCGAGAAGCAGAAGGAGGGAGAGGAAAGAAGAACAGCTATAAACGTGTCCCTTTGGAAGAGAAGTAGATTCTTATAGTGACAAGGTTACCATTTAGCAAACAGCAATGGCATCCTGCTCAGACTTGAAGATGAGAAGTAGGTCTTTCCTCAAAATAACCTTCCTTTCAATGAGAATACTAGCTTATAATTTATGTTTCTTTTTGTGCACAAATTTGAGTGTCATAAAAATGGTTAAAAAGTCTTCCTATGGTAGCTTTTTCTAAACTTTTATGAACATCTGCCACATTCATTTGAAGTTTAAAAAATCCTGGCACATATGCAAAGGCATAATAAGGTGCCTATAGCTTTCAAGAAAAAATAACAAGCCAGTCAAAAATAAGCCTTTTGCTGAGTTGCCAGTAAGAAAACTAGTGTAGTGAGGAGCTGGGCCTCCCCAGCTTCTTTTTTACAGAGCTTCTTGCCTGTGGGGCCACACTCCACCCTAGACATTAAGGACCTATAGAAAAATCTTGGGACACAGCTGCAGCAGTGAAGGCCATGTCAGAGCAACATAAGTCCAACAAGCAAGCACAATAGGGCCCTGAGTATAGGGCTCTTTCTCAGGAGACTCAGAGAAAGAATTTCAACATTTGGTGGTGGGGGTAGGCGGCAATGCCCACAGGAAACATTTTTGTTGTTTAAAAAACTACCCAGAGGCTGGAACAACTTACATTTTTGTTTTTCTTTGGTATTGACCCAATGCAAGAGTTCAGCACAGCATGGTTCTGCTTCCTGAACCATCTCACCTAAAGCCCTTTAAAGGCTGGACAGAACAGACTTGCACCCATTCATCTAGGTGCTTCAAAATTTAACACACTCTGCATTGTACGCTTTACTACACAAAAGCACTTGTTTTGTATTACTTAAAGTGAAACATGGTTTTAAAAAAAATGTTAAACCCCTCTTTTGAGTGTGTGCATGCATGTGCACACACGTAGGAGGGCCTATGCCCATGTGTGGAAGCCTGGGGAAGATGCCACGTGTCTGCTCTATCATTCCCCACCTCACTCCTCTGAGATAGGGTCTCTCACATAATACAAAGATAGGCTGGAGACCAGCAAGCCCCCATGATCTTCGGGTCTCTGTATCCAGTGGAGCTGGGGTTATAGGTGGCCTGGCTTTTTATGAGTGATGATGACATGGGGTGACTTGCAAACAGTGATGCCTGTTTGAAAGGCTTTAAAATGTGTTATTACAGCAACTCAAGCACTAACTTCACCCTTCTCAAAAAGCTGTGACTCAGACAACATCACCTGCTTGGCACCCTGGTCAAGAAATTAAGGCTACCACAGAAGATGATGCTACCTTTGCTTGCATGGGATTCATGCTCCATAGAACATACTGTAGGACTTGGAAACAAACAGCTATTGTTTAGATTAGAGTACAGTAGAGTAAGAGATTCCACAAGTGAAAGATGAACATGATAGAGCACTTTCTGGAATTGCCAGAGAAGGGCAGGACTTCTATGGGGATGTACAGGATCTATTTGGTCCAAGAACTGGCTCATGTGTTCTTACAATGATGGGGCAGAAAGCTCAACAGCAGTGGAGAAGCCAAGGGGAGCTTGGGGCAACACAGAATATGAATGGAATGTGTACCTGGTGACCACACCTGGCAACCCATACCATAAGGGAGCTAAGCACTAAACCTTATTTTCATTTTTGTACCTCCAGGACTGAGCACAATTCTTGGAATCTTACAAAGCCCTATTCACTAATTTGATAGCAAAATGTGGGCCTTGTATGTTCCAAGAAAGCTAAGGAAAAGAGCCAAGGAAGGCAGTGGGAAAGGAACAAGATTGGAGACGCTTTATATAGAGACTTGTGAGTATTTATCAAGAATGCTTGTGCCCAAACATTGGGGCATCTGCAGGCAATACCTTTCAAAGAACTGGGAACACCAGAAGGGGATATGGAGAAGAAAAGCAAGCCCACACACCTTGGAAAATGCTAAAGTGCTCAGAATGTCTGTCTGCAAATAATAAATTGATGGGGGAAAGACTGAGATAGCAAAGTTTAGTGGGTCCCTGAAATCAGTGGGGACCTGAAATCCAGAGAGAGAGAGGGATGGGGGCAGAGTAGAGCAGTGTTATCACCTTAGAGTTGTGTCACTGGCTTTGACACCCCTTAAACACAATGGCTGGAGGGCACATGGAGAAGAAAAGCAAGCCAAGACCATATACTTTGGGGAATGCTGAAGGTACTGGTATGCAAGACAGGTCTGGAAAAGCCTATGATGGAGCAGACTGGAAGGCAGGAGGAGAAGCATGAGGGAACTGTGGACACTGATAGACTCAATTGTCTTTAGTGTTTTAAACTAAAGTAGTTGGCATGAAAGGTCCATTAGAAAGGATTTACTTTTAATTTCTGTATGTAAGCTTTGAATAGACCCCCACACTTAACAAAGGTAAAACACACAAGCAATCTCTTTAGTCTGATCTAAATACATCATCTAAGATAGTCCATAAACTGTGTACTGTATGTGCTTAGGGCTGGGTGATGACAGGGAGGGACTGTTAACAGAATGTAGGAGCCACATGGCCATCCTGTCAAATTAGAAATTTGAGCAGATTTCTGTGGTCTATTTTGATCAAGATTCTCAATGTCAAACAAACAGGTTTTTCGATAACCAGCTCGTTTCATTTTCGTAAGCACAATAGCAGAGTGTGCAACAGTTAGCGGAGAAGCAGGTGGTCCTCGTCGACGTGAAATGAAAGGAACAGAAGAGAAGTAGCACTTCCTTTAAGACATTCTAAGCACCATGGCAGGCATGGCTGGGGACTTCCTCCCAGAGCCCACACTGTGCCACATGAACAAGCTGACCAGCCCCACCCTGCTCTGGGAAGTGCAAATGCCTGTCCTTTCCGAGAAAGAAAATCCTGGAGGTCAAGTCTACAAATCAAGGGCATGAACAAAAGCATAAAAAGTCCATTGAAAGCATTGCTGCCTGATTGGTACAGCCACACAGAAAGCAATCTGGCAGCAGTCTCATAGCTTTGACCAAGCATTTCTGCTTTAGGGATTCTGCACTAGGGATATAATGCAGAAAAAAAAAAAAATGCAGATAAAGCCTTATACATAAAGATGTTTGCTGAAGTGCTATTTATAATAGGGAAAAAAAAATCATCTGGCAACCTAAGTGCTCAATGGCAGAAAAGTGGTTAAGTTGTAGAAATGACAGGGAACAAATGGAAAACTGCTGTTACTGAGGGTAGATAAAAAAAGACAAGGATTCTCACATCATAATGCTAAAGACAATATTATATGAAATACGTATTATATAAAGACAATATTATATGAAATAAGTATCTACAGGATAAAGACTAGATGGAAAATAGTAAAATGCTAACAGTAGTTCATTCTGGAATAATGGCAATGTGGGTGATTTTAATTTTCTTCTTAACTTCTACAGACCATTTATATCACATTTCCTACCATGAAAATGTAACACAGTGATTCAGAATAAATGTCATTATGAAAAACAAACAAACCCTTTCCCTTCCCTTATCCCAGCCCAAATGGTACCCTTCTCCTACCTCCCTACCCTCCCTCATTCACCCAGGAAAAATCCAACATCTCCAATCAAAGCAGAGAAGCCCAGAATGCAGGAGACAGTTGAAAGGTTGATGAATGGGTTAGTGTATCGAGGACAGGGGGTTGCATATGAGCAGTTGCTTTAGCTGCTCCTGTGTGCAGAGCTGCACATCCTGAGATCCCATTTTTCTGCTACACAAAGCAAACCCAAAGCCCACATCAAGGATCAGGGAGGAAAGGAGCCCACTTACCTCCATTAAACTTAAATGGATTCCTATGAGGTAGGGCATGGGAGCACTGTGAAGAGAAACAGAGACACACAGCTGCTTTAATGTCTGTTGCTTCCGACAGAAAATTACAGATGGTTCACTATTTAGAGAAAAGCTGTTTTAATAAACGTATGCACAGTTACATTTCCTTTCACAACAAAAATCTTAATGTGACATTTTGTTTCCAAGCCTAGAAACGTCAAAGAATTTAAAAATGCAGGCAGCACTTGGAATGGTGTGGCTAGCAGGAAGAGCATCAACCTTGGTGTCAGCTATCAACCCCAAACAGCAGCCAGGCAGCTTCCTGGCCTCAGTCACATTATCTTTATAATGGGATTCTTGGCGCAACTACTGTTACAAGATGGAGATAAACACACACAGTACAGAGGTCTTATTACTTATGGGAACTATGGTCTCAACAATTATAATGGAAAAAAGTGAAGGTTACATAGAGAGCACAATAAAGACATATAGCCTAATGTTTGGAGAGGGTCCAGCAAGCTTCTGCATGCCACGGCACACATGGGTGACTATATAACAGAGCCTCCACTGTCTGCTTCCTTTGCAGAGCAGAAGCAAGTTCAGAGTTTCTAAAAATCTGGGTGTTCTGTAGTTCTCATTCATTCATTCATTTTAGAGGTTTCTTTTTATTTATTTCTTTTTAACTTTTATTCTTCCCTCATATATTACATCCTGATGGCAGTTTCCCTTCCCTCCCAGCTTTCCCTCTATTACTTTCTCTCCCAGATCAACTATTGATTCCCTTCAAAGTAGAAAGAAAGAAAGAAAGAAAGAAAGAAAGAAAGAAAGAAAGAAAGAAAGAAAGAAAGAAGGAAGGAAGGAAGGAAGGAAGGAAGGAAGGAAGGAAGGAAGGAAGGACGGACGAACAGGCCTCCTAGGTATATCCACTGAACAAGGCCTAGCAAGATACAATTACAATAGGACTGGGTACAAACCCTCATATCACGGCTGGATGGGGCAACCCAGTAGGATAAGAAGGGTCCCAAGAACAGGAAAAAGAGTCAGAAATACATCCCCCCCAACTCCCATTGTTGGTACTTCCACAAGAACACCAAGCTACACAACCATAAGGTTTATGTAGAGGACCTAGCTGATGTCACACAGGGTCTGTATTTGTTGCTTGAGTTTCTGTGAGGTCCTATGAGCCTTGCTTAGTTGATTCAGTGACTGGTGTTTTGTCATGGTATCTTTAACTCCTCTGGCTCCTATAATCCTTCTTCCCCATCTTCTGCAGGGTTCCCCTGGCTCCACCTAGTGTTTGGCTCTGAGTCCCTGCATCTGCTCTCATGGTTTTCTAGATGATGCCCCTCTGATGACAACTGAGGTAGGCATTGATCTATAGGTACAGTAGAATTCATTGGGAATCACCTCATTGACTTTTTTTTTTTTTTTTTTTTTTTTTTTTGCCAGTCATGTTTACTTCTATACTGGGTTTCTGGCCTGTCTTGCCTCTGGTTCCTGGCCATCCAGATAGTGTCATGCTTGGGATCCCTCTCCTGGAGTGGGTTGGCCAGTCCCACTAAGTTTTGTACCACCATTGCCCCAGCACATTTTGCACACAGGACAGATTATAGATTGAAGGTTTTGTGGCTAGGTTGATGTCCCAGTCCTACTGCTAGGAGCCTTGCCTGGTTATAGAAGATGGCCAGTTCTGGCTCTATATCCTCTATTACAAGGAGACTTCACTAGGGTTACTCTCATAGATTCCAGGAAGTTCCCACTGCACTTACATACTCATTTATGATGTTTCTCTCTGGTGATAAACATGATACAGATTATGTGAAGTCACTCTTTCCAACCTCCATAATAATGCCCATTCTACAAAGGAGAAAATAGACTAAAAGAGGCTAAAACACGTATCTAATGCCACAAAGCCAAGCAAGCAGTAAGCCCAGACTGGCTGTGAATTGATCCCCAGGTTGAGGAACACATCTTATCTTCCTTGGGAGTAGAGGAAAAAGGGCAGGAAGCACAGAAATGATGGGAAACTTTTCTGGCTTTCTTTCCAAAGCCATACATCCTACAATACTAGCAGGGGGTAGTTTTCAATGAAATTAGAGCGAAGACAATTGGCTTGAACTGGGCTGTGTAGGTACTTTTCCTCAGGGGCAGGTGTGGGAGTCACAGTGGAGAGAGAAGGATACCCTTTTGTATGCAGACTTGGGAAACAGTGAGGCAGGAGGTGACTGCAAACCAGGAGCTCATGTTGTATCTAGAAATCGGTGGAGAGGCAACTAAGATTCTTAAGACATTAGACGTAAACTTAAAAAATGTTCAAACATTTAAAAAAGGAAGAAAAGTTTGCAATTCCCTCATTACAACTCAACAAATAAAATTCTTCAAGCATATATCCTTTGATATCTTTCAGAATACAAAATGTCCTCATTACTACAGATCTCAGCAATCATATATGTCAGGATCCTGGAAGACAGCCTGAGAACTATTCTTCTCTAAGACTTTGTATTTGATAATAGCCAAAGAAGGAACTGTACAAACAAACTGCAGTGGAAAGAAACAGAGCTGTCTTTTCTTCTAGCATCTTCTTCCATCCTTTTTTTTCCCCCCTTCAAGGTACCTGCGGGGCACATGCAGCTTCTCTTTGCTTCAAGAGGCAAAGAAATGCCCTGTGATATTTTTGCCCTGAAACTGTAAACCATTAGCTTAGCTGCCAGCCACACAGATGCTCCAACTTCCCAGTGTGCCTGGCTTTGCTGCCTGAGCTTTCTCCAGTGTACACCAAAATGAATGTGTTTCTAATTAAGTAGCTTCAGAAACACGACAGCTTCAATGTCAAAAATACAAAGTCTGAACCCCGGCAGGAAGTCTTAAGACTGCAAATGTCTCATCTAGTGGAGCCTTGCCTAATGTAATGAAAGGAAGCAGGAAGAGCACAAAATTCCAGAAAAAAAAAAAAAAAAAAAAAAAAAAAAGCCAGTCATTAATGTGTCCAGAGTGTGGCCTGACACATGGAGAGAAGCACAAGCTCACAATATTGAACTAAATCTTACCGCCTTCCCACCTCTCACATGTAAGCACATAACTGACCGGCCAGTGACCATGTGTTTCAAATAGAATTTCAGAACCAAAATCCCAACAAGTGAGCCAACAAAAGGAAAGAATCAAACAACTGTGAGAAAAAGGTAAAAATAACCCCAACAGCCAAAGCCCCTGGTGTAATTTAACCACAGCCTGTTCTCTAAAGAGGAAATATTCCCTAGAAACTGCAACGTGTAGTTTTTAACACCATGCAACTTCAGTCTACATGATATCCTGACAGGGAGCCTTATGAAAGTGATTTAGAGATGCCAGAAGGGACACTGTAGGTCTTACTCTTCGGACACAGTTGGGATGAGTAATTACAGCCTCTTCCAGAAAAGCAGCTTTGCAGCCAAGCATTGTTAGGCCTGCACGGTCTGTATTTAGACAACATTTAAAGCATGAGCATTCTGAATCTGAACAGCTCTGTGCTTGCACGAAAGCAAATCTGGACAAATACCTTCGTCTATTTTTCGTCTATTGTTATCATTTGCTTCCAACACCTCAAATGCTTCCCAGAATCTACATTTTTTTTTTTTTTTTGCTTTGCAAATATGTAATTACAAATTCTAGGTGGGGGTGGGAGAGGAAAGAAAAAGGAAGCCGCCTCCTTAACATCCCAACGTGGCAAGTACACAATTGGGTAATTCTAGGTATGCTCTGAACATAATTTTTATTCTCTATATACCTCAATTATTGTATCTACTTATACATTTTCTTAGAGACCTTTTTCTTTGCCTTTATATGAGGCAACTTCGGGGGGAGGGGGGTGGAAAACCCACCTACCCATGATTATACTGTGTGATATAACTACTCTTATCTTTGGCTTATCCTTTTCTAACATTAACCTAACCAAATGGTTGAAATTAACCATATGTATCTTATTGTTTCCTCATTTTCTACACTGACCTTTCCAATATTGCTCTACAACCACTGTGATGGTTATTTAAAAGGCTGCATAATATTCCACTTAGCAGGGTGGACCATAATTTATTGAATCCAATTCCTGGAATTAGACAATAAGTTGCTCCTAATTTTTCATTAATATAAGAAACACTGTAATGAAAACAGTGTAGTACATGAATTCCAAGACAGAGATTACTAATCAAAGGGTTGGACTAATTTTCATTTACCTTTTGTTGTGTCCTAGCCAGGTGTTTCCAGTGCCTGTCCAGTGGAGCTTTTCAGGATTACATCAAGGACTGGAGACAAAAAATGAGGTAGCCATCACTGGTACACACTCAATGACTCTGAAGTCCAAAGGGGTTCTCTCTAGACCCATGGCTGCTGGTATCCCTGGACTGCCTCCTCCCATCTCTCAAAGACAATGGTTTTTCCCCTTCCTTCCTTCCTTCCTTCCTTCCTTCCTTCCTTCCTTCCTTCCTGTTGTTTGTGATAGTCTTACTATATACCTCAGGCTGGCCTCAAACTCATGGGAATCCTTTTGTCTATCTCCCAAGTACTGGGATCACAGACACAGGCTGTCATGCCCAGCTCAGACAATGGCTTCTTGTTCATCCTAGGTACTGATGGTCACCTGGAAGGCCACCAGTGACAGGATAGTCCATGAGCATTACAAGATGCTAACTCCTACCTCCTGTACACATCCACACTGAGGGCATACACTCTCGGTACCTGTACACTACACACTATTTAGAAGAATTGCATGTCACTTTCTTCCAGAGGCCCTTCCTCATTAATATAAAGACAAAATCAATGATTCATAGTTTTCTGACCACTTAGAATGGCACATTTAAATGTTCCTTTCTCACTCCTAGGCATACATTGAAAGGAAAATATAGCAAGAAAATTTGGTGACCTACTCCTACAAATGTCACATTGAGAGGCCTACTTATCTGAATGATTTTCTTTATCTGAGTCATCAGTGTCCATGTTTTCTAAAAGAGCAACAAACAAGCCAGGAAGATGTTCTTAGTGGGTGGTGTTTGGTTTTGTTTTGTAATAACAGAA